GAAAGTTCACGGCATTTGTAACTCCTGAAGGCTTGTATGAATTTAAAATGACTCCTTTCGGATTTTGCAACAGTCCAGCCAGTTTTATGAGATTTGTCAACGAAGTCTTTAAAGATCTAATACGTCAGAAGACAATAATAATTTACATGGACGATACCGTCATACCAGGAGACAATTATGAAAATGCTTATGAGAAACTAGTGAGAACTCTAAGAACGGCAGAAGAACACGGACTGAATATTAATTGGCATAAAAGCAGCTACCTTAAAACGAAGATTGAATTTTTAGGATATGAAATAGAAAATGGCCATGTACGCCCGGCCAAGGCTAAAATCAAAGGGGTTATGTACTTTCCAGAGCCAACATCGAAACTACAAGTTGCCAGTTTCCTAGGTTTAACAGGATACTTCCTAAACTACAAGTTGCCAGTTTCCTAGGTTTGACAGGATACTTCCGCAAATTTGTCCATGATTATGCACGAATTGTCCGACCTTTATCTGATCTCTTAAAAAAAGATAAGAGTTTCTACATCGGTGAAAAACAGAAAAAGGCAATCTCGACATTGAAGAACATCTTATCTAAAGAGCCAGTACTTCGTTTTTACGACGTTAACGCGATCACCGAATTACATACGGATGCCAGCTCGGAGGGATACGGTGGTATACTACTACAGAAGAACTCTGATGAGGAACAATTACATCCGGTTTACTATTGGAGCAGTAAAACCTCAGACGCGGAGAAGAAATACCATTCTTACGAATTGGAGATCCTAGCGATCGTACGAGCACTACAAAAATTTAGAGTCTACCTTCTTGGACTGACTTTCAAAATAGTGACGGACTGTGAAGCGGTTAAAAAGACTATGACGAAAAAAGAAATATCTTCCAAGATTGCGCGTTGGGTATTAACTATGGAAGAATTCTCATACACCATCGAGCACCGCCCAGGCACTCAATTGAGACACGTGGACGCATTGAGTCGCTCTCCAATCATGTTAATAGAGGACAAGCTCGTAGTGATGATACGGAAGAAGCAGGATGAAGAAGAAAAGCTGCGAGTGATTAAGTTGCTACTGGAAAGAGGTCCCTACCAGGACTACGTACTCAATGATGGTATATTAATGAAGCGGATGAACGACACGACAGTGGTTGTGCTACCATCGTGTATGCAGACTAATTTGATTCGGCAAACGCACGATCAAGGCCACTTTGGTGTGAAAAAGATGTCAGAAATGATAAACAAGGAGTATTATATACCAAACCTCAAGAGTAAATTAGAAGCCTATATAAGTTGCTGCATACCTTGCGTATTAGCCGAACGGAAGAAGGGGAAGCGTGAAGGCGTATTGGCACCAATACCAAAAGGGGACCAGCTCCTGCATACGTATCACATAGACCATCTAGGTCCTATGACTACTACAGGCAAACTGTATCGGTACCTCCTGGTAATAGTCGATGGATTTTCCAAGTTTGTTTGGATCTATCCTACTAAAACTACGAACACGAAGGAGGTATTAAGCAAGTTGAAAGAATTACAAGGGATTTTCGGTAATCCCTTGAGAATCATTACTGACAGGGGTTCCGCATACACTTCAGCTGATTTCAAGGAATATTGTTCAGAAGAACAAATTGAGCATACACTTATCACCACTGGAGTTCCGCGAGGAAATGGCCAGGTTGAGAGGATTCACCGAATTATCATCCCCATGTTGACCAAATTAAGTCTGGATGATCCCACAAAGTGGTTTCAATTCGCACATAAGGTCCAGCGGTGCATCAATAACACATACCAAAGGAGTGTTAAAATGACACCTTTCGAGTTACTATTTGGAGTCAAGATGCGACAAAAGGAAGACACCGAAATCCGTGAATTCATCGACCAAGAAGTAGCTGAATTACATCAAGAAGCCCGACAAGAGCTCCGGCAAATAGCGAGAGAAAATATCCTGAAAACCCAAGAAGAGAATCGTCGGACTACGAAAAGGGTCACTAAACCTGCTATTACTTATGTAGAAGGAGATTTAGTAGCTATACAAAGGACACAGTTCGGAACTGGACTGAAGATAAGCAAGAAGTTCTATGGACCCTATCGTGTAACGAAGGTCAAGAGAAATGACCGCTATGATGTGACCAAGGTTGGAACTGGTGACGGCCCCGAACGAACATCTACTGCTGCCGATCTGATGAAACCCTATCCCGCATTCTCCTCCGGGACGGAAGAGGTAGCAGAATGGCCGAGTGTGAGAAGCGAGTAGATCCTAGGTATTCTAGAGCTCTGTAATGGCTGCCGAACAAGATCGACTGGCGCCCTTGTCGGTGAGACGTTATCGACAGAGCGGAACCAATGAGGGATGGCGTACTATCAGGTGTGCAAGGAGAAGAAGATTATTATTTTGGACAACTTAATATGTATTATTATTACGACTCTCTTGGAATTAGCAAGAAAATATATCTAACGAAAGGATTATTATTCGAACGCAAGTGTACTTTCCCTCACCATCACCAAGATCCTACATTAATACATGTAGTCAATAATACATATAGACTAATGTAACTTCGTTCCAAAAATTTTTACTTGTGCGCAAAAGTGGGTAATCGAGCTGTAGACAATAATTCTTGTACACAAACGAACTGTCAGCAAAAGTAATGTAAGTAAATGATGCTGTAAGCAATCGATTTATAAACAAACGGGATCCTCCCATAATAAACAATTCGTAATTGTTTATTTCAAACAGCAATATAATCATATCTTTTATATCAGCAAATAAATATCTACATCAGATGTTTATCAGCAAATATACTGTAAACATTTTTATCAGGTATAGTGCATTTGATAACTTAAACAAAGGCAAATTAATAAAAGCAATTGTACACATTTTATATATTTTCGTATTAATTGTAAACGAGTATAAACGATATTTCATCATAAACTGCATTTATGTGTTAAAGATTTGCAGAGTTGTGTGTGGCGGTCTATTTGATACCACACAATTTTCAAATGCTCGAACAGAGCAAACTTCATGCGAATGCATTTGTTTTCCAAGACCTACTTGAAGTGATTTGAAAAGAATTAATTTCTCAAGAAATTAATAGAAGGCGCATTTCGATAGATTTTCTCGTATTTTAAAAACGTTCCGATCGGCTATGAAAGGGCATGAACAATGACTCGATTTCGACTCTTGCAACATACCGCAAGAGCATCATCGTTTTTGTGATTTAACCGTGAAGACCGTCTCACGTCGACAACGGATCGTTCCCTGGTAGAAGAAATCTTTCCCAGCGAGATCCAGCAAGCGGTTGCAGACACAAGAGGCTGTATGATCAAGGTGTATAACGGTAGCCAAGCAACGAGAAGGATCAACTTCCCCTACCATCATCTGGCAGCTTTATAAAGTGGAGAAATCAACGCCGGTTCTCACAAGACCTCCAAGTTTCCTCCTGGCAAGAAGCGATTCAAGGGTTAAAAGACCTCTCTCTCCTAGCTATCCGGTACGGCCGCGGCTTCTGTCTCCACTATCAAGGTCTCCAAGCAACTTCTCCTCGAAGGCAACGCAGACCTAGCCAGTTTCCAGGGTTCACCGAGGAACACTGAGCAGACCAGAGGTAGCTAACAAGGAAACGCAGAATAGCTTCAGAAAATCTTACACACCATCAGGAACACCACCAAGCTACACACCACCAGGCTCACCTCTAGGATTTTACTATTTAGATCTCTCTCGCAAAAGACTTTGGGGACCGAAGAAATTCACCAAGACTAAACCGTCAATCTCTTATAGACAAAGACTAATTTAGATTTTTTAATAAACAGCCCTTTTCAGGGACACATAATTTGTAAATATAAAAACGGTCCTTTTTAGAGCCCATTAATTTAAACAATAAATGAACACGCATAACAAATTCCTACATTGAGTATTAGTACATTACCGTTACAACATTACTGTTACAACATTTTTGGATAAGGCAACGAATATAATCCCGTACTTTTATCGTTACTTTTTACACGTATAAATACATATATAATATTAAACATAAGTATGGAATATGCATAAGCAAAGTTTCAAAAGAAACTTTGTTATGTTTATGATTAATCACAATCGTACCTTAGAGATAGCCATGTTTGTGAATAATCACAACCGTTACTTATAGATTTCGTGTTGAAATTGAGGTCAATTAAATTGAAATTACAGCTGACTTCTATAAATAAATAGTAACACGTTTTCACATAAATTCACGCGATATTGTCAGACAGGACGCATATATACGCACATGTGAACTAAAACAAGGTGTTGTACCGCTCAGGGTGCAAGGGTGCCGCTCCGGGCACAGTTTATAGAATTTACGGGTCAGCCGTTCCTGTCAAGGTACGACGTACGCTCAGGGCGTGGCGGAATCTCAGGTTGGACGTGATGATGTCGGTTGATGAGGGCTCGAGGTCCTCCAATTAATATAGGCCAGCGTTCATGGTATAAGAAATTTTATTGTCACTTACGAGTTCTATGTGCTTTACAATATAATAATGTCTCGTAGTAGCGGAGATTCTCACAGTAGTCGTACTCTCACTTAACTTTTCGGAACGGCCCCGAGATGCTCAAGGCTTACGTTTTTATATTCACTAATTAGGCCGAATTTATGCGTAGTTGCATTAAATTAATGTATGTCACCTCCTTTGTGATCCAAAGTAGGTGACTTGATTTTGTAATGATTTTAACTGCTAGTCTGCAGAAAAGATACAGACGCAGATTTTAGGTATGACCTATTTGGGTCATAACATCCTTCCCAATCCTTTGATTGAAGAATGATTTTTGATAACTATTTTGAAGTCATTTTGACATCATTTTGATATCATAATGACTTGTTGCTCTGCTTAGGTTGAGTCAGCAGTCTAGTTATAGAAGCCTGTGGTTGAAATACTATAGAGATATAAAATTAATATTAATATTAATATTTTGATAAAATATGTTATGACAAATATACTGAATCATTACTATATTAATATTCTAGATATTATAAAGCTTTTGACGAAAAACCTTTCATGAATCGTACTAGAGTTGCTGAATATTTATCTTTGATAGAAAAGATGCAAAACACTGTCGATTGCAGCGACACATGGTTTGACGTTTCTCTGAAACGTTTTATAGAATATTGGGAATGCGGAGGCGATCTTACGTTGAATTGGAAAGGACGTGGTTATAAAACGATTTTTGATGTACTATTGGTAAAAGATCATCTAAATTACTTAATGATATTGAACTAGAAATGCGATGTATAAAAGTGTTTTCAATGACATTTCATTTTACATAACAATAAAACGTAAAATGTATTCCATTAACAAAAAATAATGATCGTTATTTAAAATTAAATTAATCAAGTATAAAATAAATAATCTTAAATCTTACAGGACCGTGAGAAACACAATCTATAGAAATCAATGCCTTAAACAGTCTAATTGGATTTTAAGAATTTGTATCTTTCTGTGTGAAAATATATACTACATATGTATTTCTTTAAAATTCGCACCAAAATGATTTTTCGGTCTTGAAACGCAAACTCTACTGAACTACCGCAGTAATATCATTAGTTAAATTAACTAGCAATTTAACATTTTGATTGCGTTTCAAGATCGAAGTCATTTTGGTGTGCATTTTACAGGACTATATACATAGTATATAAATTCACAAAAACATACAAGCACCTAAGAACTAGCTAGACCGTTTAAGACGTTGAATGTGTTTCTACAAAATAAATGTTTAATTTATTTATAAAATATTTTAATACATTTTAATCAAGTTATATAATTAATACCTTATCTATTATTTTTTCTAATCTAATGTGTGTAATCATTTTATCAGCAAAAGATTCCAAATCCAGAGGAACGTTTGCCAGTAATGGAAAAAATAGAGTTCGAAAAAGTTGTGACAACTTGCAATTATAGCTCAGGCGAGAATGTGACGGTAACTACCAGAGATGGATGCAAGTATTCCGCATCGCATGTTATATTCACTGGATCGCTAGGTGTTCTGAAGGAGAAACATTCCTCGATGTTCGTGCCACCTTTGTCGCAGAAGAAACAACGTGCGATACAGGTTTTTTCAACAGTATAACAATGTAAAAGGAAATCGTTATACATTACATGTTTAATCCTGGTAACAAATTTGTCATGTATGAATATGTATAAATATGTATAAACATATGTAAACATGTATGAATATTTATAAACATATAATTTTATACATGAAATATGTCCATACATGTTTATACATCCTTCTTTCTTTTACAAAATTTATACTTTTTAGTGTAATAGAAATAATAATGTGAGAACATAAAAAATAATTAAAAGGTTAATTTTCGCACTACTTGTTTTAGAAAAAATCAAGTTTAAAGAAATGTAAAAAGTTATTTATGTATAATTATATACAGAATTATGCATAATTGTGTATGAGCAACTTTTTTTATATTTTTCGAAACTTGTTTTTTCTAAAGCAAACAATACAAAAATTATCCCTTTAATTATTTTTAATGTTTTCACATTACACACTATCATTATTTTTATTATACTGAAAAGTAATTTTACAAAAGAAAAAGGGATGTATGAACATGTATGGACATATTTCACGCATAATTATACATGTTTATAAATATTTATACGTGTTTATGTATGTTTATATATATTTATATATGTATAATATATTCATGCATGAAAAATTTTTTACCTGAATATTACTTTTAACGTCATTATTTTGCCGTCAGGGATTAAATATTGGAACAGTGAACAAGATTTTTCTCGAATTTCCAAACAGATGGTGGCCGGAAGACAAAATCAATTTTGATTTTATCTGGTCGGAAAAAGATAAGAAAGAATTCTTGCAAATCTATGGTCAAGTAAATAAACATTCGAAGTTCTATTTAAACTAAAGAGATTCTAGCGAATAATAATTTGTTATTAAAAATAAATTTCAACGATTTTTTGTCTTTACGGTCTTTCCGTTACTTAATCTTGTCAAATATGTTTGTTTTAGAATAGCGAGTGGCTCTGCGATGTGTTTGATTTTATTTCTGTTGCTTATCAGCCGAATCTCTTATGTGCTTGGATAACTGGAAAAAACGCAAGATATATCGAAACTTTATCGGATACTGATGTATTTGATGGATTATATTTATTGTTGAAAAAGGCGTTTGAAAGTCATGATAATATTACAAAACCAACAAGAATGTTAAGGTAATTTGCCACTAGAACTGAGTGAGAGAAAAATAATTAGATCTGATTATTATTTTTTTTTTATACTTTTAGGTCTAAATGGTATACCAATGAACATTTTCGAGGCTCGTACAGTTTTCAAAGTATGCTTTCCGAGCAAATGAATGTAACACCGAGAGATCTGGCAGAGCCGATTATGACTGGAAATAAACCTGTATGTATTCTCAAAATAAAAATAAAAGCAAACATGATTTTTAATTATTATGCAAATTATTGTTTGGAACATTATATCATAATATCTAAATCTTTTTATTTTTAGCTTTAGTTCATTACTTATTTTTAATTTATGTTTACTACTGAATTGTGTCGTATAAGAAATTCGATTGATGAAATGAATCTTCATGATTAGGTAATTCTTTTCGCTGGAGAAGCCACGCATGATCATTATTATTCTACTGTACACGGCGGCGTGGAAACTGGTTTCCGCGAAGCTGATAGATTAATCGATTTTGAAAGGTAAAATAATTTTAATGAACTTATTTTTCAAATTATAAATAAAAAATTTTTTCCAATTAATAATTTAATTAAGATTGAATGAAAAAGGAAGTAATTCCTTAAGTAAAACTTAATTTATTAGCATATGCAATTATATGTAATGCATAATGCATTGTAGATTAATAATTTATTTCGTTTATTTTTACTGTTGTTGCATCATTTCGTTTTGTATTGTATATTATATTTATAATTATTATGATATGTCCAAAATGTCCAACTTAATATGGACACGAAGAGAACTTTTTCTTAGAATTTATTCTGAAAATATGACAATCGTGGGACAGGATTGTATTTCGAAAAATTTTAATGCAAATCTTTCTCATTCATTAATAAAACTACAATAAAGTACAAAATAAGTTTGATTAATTTTACTAAAGTGCATGGTAAAAGTGTTTAAAATATTACAATATACCACAACTACCATATTTTCAGGGTAAATTTTAAAAGAAATTTCTCTCCGTTTATATTATTCGATTCTATAATTGAATCATATACATTTCATTTTGTACGAAGTTTAATAAAAGTAAAGGATTAACTGTTTATTTATTGTTACTTTTAAACATACCGGCTCAAATTTTGCATAAACAATTTTGCAATAATATATCAGATTGCATGCTTTTTCTTAGGCAGACTTTCTTAGACTCCCATCTGTAACTACATCTTCTATATACGACTGTCACTCTTATAATGAATGGATTACGGAAAACTAGAAATATGTTTGAATATTTGTAATGTAGACGAATATATTTAAAGCATGAGCAACTACATTTACTTGTTGTAAACATTAATATATAAATACATTGTGCATTATAATAATATAAATTTTTATATATATATTGTATGTAAATTGATGTAAAAATCAGAAAAATGTATAATTGACACGAAATATATAATGTTAACATTAAGAGAAATAATATTTATATTTGTTATTATTTATTTATTGTGTTTATTATTTCTAGTTATTATTTTCGTGTTTTCTATAATATACTATTACTAAATTAAAAATATGATTAAATAAAATTTATTTGTATACATAAATGATATAGATATACATATAAATATGAAGCATATTTATATGTAGCTTTATAATTCGTTCGAAATTTTTTAAATGTTCGTACAATGAGGCACTTATTTTCTATTTATCACAAAAAATCATTTAGTAGTAAATCTCATTATACTGTTGTACTCTATGTGTGTATATATTCTACATAATAATTAATTGTTAAAATAGTTTAATTTAATATAAATGTGTGTTAATTAATTTCCAATTTACTTATTATTAAATAATTTTTCCTTATTTTATTTCTTCTTCTACTTCTTTGCTATCAGTCCGGTAAAAAATTTGTCATGCATGAATATGTATATATAAACATACACAACATGTATAAATATTTATAAACATATGTAATTAGGGTAATATGAAATAGCTTTTTTTAAATTAACATTACTCCGATATAATATAGATTTACACAGAACTCTTGAAGGAATATTAGCTACAACATCCAATAAATGAAAGTCACCAAAATTTAAGCCCAACGTCAATATTAACAAAAAGTCAAAAGTGAGAAAATGAGGGGGTCTAAAAAATGGGATGTAATA